TCCCTGGCAATCCACTATTCAATCCACCCTATTAAACAGTAATTGCCTTAAATGAATAGTAACTATCATTAATGAACAGTAATTGCCATTTACATCTCCACCCTTGGAACCCTCCCCCCTGTCAATAAGCAATTAAAATAATAGTTTTTTTTGTTTGTTTAAATAATAAAAAACCCCCTCTCTCTCTCTCTCTCTCTCTCTCTCTCTCTCTTTGACACAAAAAAAATAAAAAATTGCAAAGCCCTCGGGCCACAGGCCCGTCGACTCCCCACCCCCCCTTCTCTCGGGCTCCCACCCTCACTCGGGCCCTTCCCCGCTGGAGCTGCTCCCACCGGCCCTCAGGCCCTTTCTCCTCCCTTGTCGCTCGAGCAACCAGCATCCGCTGGAGTTGCTCTTAGGCTTTCACAATAAGGGTCTTCATGCAAATGTACTTGAAAATAGTCTTAGAATAATCATGCAGAACAGCCTATTGTGGAGAAAAATAATTGGGCACATATTATTAAAAAACGATTACAACTTCTTCTTTTTTTTTTCTTTTTTTTTTTGAACAAACAATATTATTTACACTAAGGGGAGGAGATGAGCTGAGCCTCACAATAAGATAACAATAATGTGGTTCATATTCGTCTTTGGCGAGAATTGAACTTAAGACCTCTCATTACATGTGAAGATTAATACTACTAGACTGTAGTACTAGGTCGCAGGATTATAACTATTTGACATTGAAATTCTTGTGTAATATTTCTGAATTTGTAAGAGGAAGCAGTTGAGATTCGGTTTTCGTAATTAACAAATTTTCCTAAAACTTGGAATGTATCAACAACCGTGGTTGATACCCCCATATCTTCTAGTAATTCATTGTCGTTTCATTGCCCAAAAATACCAAATGCCTTGCATATATTTTATAACCATAAAGTTTTTTTATGTCAATTTTGTAAAAGTACAGCTAGCAGAAATATGATGATACCAAAGCATGAAATAAACTCACAAGACCAGTTCAAGGTTCCCAAAAAATTACCTCCCCAAGCATTCAAATAAATTTTAAATTTGGCGTTTACATGTTTGTTTAATTATAGCATAAGATCATATAATACTAGTATTTTATAACTGATTAGGTTTGAAATTGAAGGCATTGTGCGTCGCACAAAATTAAATTTTTTGACACTGCGATGATTTGAACTATTTTAATCTTTTAAAGGAAGAATTTGAACTTGAGTATAAAGTAACAGATAGTACGAACATATATTCTAGAAAAGGCCTAGTTAAAGTAGTTGTCACATCCCGGCCCGAGTCCACCACATCTCGGGCCCGCTTCACCACGGTAGCATGATAATGTCTGCTTTGGGTTTACCACTCCCTCATGGTTTTGTTTTTGGGAACTCACGAGCAACTTCCAAGTGGGTCACCCATCCTGGGAGTGCTCTGGGCTCATTCTCACTTAACTTCGGAGTTCCTACAGAATCCGAAGCCAGTGAGCTCCCAAAAGGCCTCGTGCTAGGTAGGGATGGGAATATACATTTAAGGATCACTCCCCTGGGCGATGTGGGATGTTACAATCCACCCCCCTTAGGGGCCGACGTCCTCGTCGGCACACTTTCGGCCAGGGATTGGCTCTGATACCATTTGTCACATCTCGGCCTGGGTCCACCACATCCCGGGCCCGCTTCACCATGGTAGCACGATATTGTCCGCTTTGGGCTTACCATTCCCTCACGGTTTTGTTTTTGGGAACTCACGAGCAACTTCCCAGTGGGTCACCCATCCTGGGAGTGCTCTGGCCTGTCCGTAGCACCATTTAACGTATATATGCAACAATTACTAATTCATATATTTCATATATATGTATGCATGGCATTTTAAAACATACTTTCATTTAAATTCAATTTCTGGGAAGAATCAATAGTATATAGGTAAATACAGAAAATACTGCCCACTCATTGGTAAGTCGAAGGGTCGTAACCCCCGTGACGCCCTTGAACGTGCTCGTCCTCGGGATAGGTCTCACCTATATGCGAAACAACTATAAAAACGTTATTTAAAGCACATAACCAACAATATGTAATAACTTCTCATACGATGCTCAAATTGGGTATATGAATATACCACAGTGACCTACTTGACGTCACGGACGTCAAGGTATTTTTAGAAAAAAATTTCGATGCTGCACGCACCCCCACGGTCTGGGAGGGGCACGGACCCACGTGAACAATACTCCAAACTAGGGGTTCGGGTTTCAGGAGTTTTCGAAGGTTCTAAGTTCCAAAAATTGTACCAATGAACTCACAAGCTTGCAAGGATGAAGGAACTCACCTTTTTGGCGTCGATCCGTGAAGATTTGAGGGTTTTTTGGTCTTGTCCGTACGAGTTTGAGAGGGAGAGAGGAAAAGTGAAACTGAGAGTGAGGAAGGGTGTGGGGGAGTGAGAGAGAGAAAGGACAGTTTGTGTGAGGGTGTACGTGTCCCGTGTGTGTGATCCATCCAAACAAAACCACAACCCAACTTTCTTTAAGTCTCTAGATCACTTTAGGTCCAAACTTAATAAAATCACCCAAAAAACCAACTTAATTAAGTCACACACACACAACCCCACTTGACGACGAAGGGTAATTTCGTAACTTCACGTCCTCGGAAATGAAATTCCGGAACGGGCTGTGACTACATCCCACATCGCCCAGGGGAGTGATCCTTAAATGTATATTCCCATCCCTACCTAGCACGAGGTCTTTTGGGAGCTCACTGGCTTCGGGTTCCGTAAGAACTCTGAAGTTAAGCGAGAAGAAGGTCAGAGCACTCCCAGGATGGGTGACCCATTGGGAAGTTGCTCGTTAGTTCCCAAAAACAAAACCGTGAGGGAATGGTAAGCCCAAAGCGGACAATATCGTGTTACCGTGGTGAAGCAGGCCCGGGATGTGGTGGACCCGGGCCAGGATGTGACAGTAGTCATCTATTATATATAAAGAGAGAAGAAAAGGTGAATAGTGCTTTGGTGTCACCAAGCTTCAACAAAGTAGTTGGACAAAAATGCCCCCAAAACAAAAAACTTCAAAGGCATCCTAAAATAATGCATCAAATAAGGTAAGGGCATTTTCATAATTTTAATAGTATTTTTTTAATAATTATTTTTTTTTTGTGGTTTTTTAATTAGTACTTCACAATGGGCTAGCAATAATGTGATTCAATTTCTCTATTTTTAAACACGTTCAAAATATCTTAAGAGACGTGTAATGGCGGTTATAAAAAAGACCATTCGCACGCGGATAATAATGTGATTAACTTAGTTGTCAAATGATTTTTTTTAACAAACGATATTATTGTGATTAAATAAGTTGTCAAATGATTTTTTTTTTTTAACAAACGATATTTTCTACACTAAAGAACAGGAGGATGAGCTTAGCCTCACAATGGATTAGTAATAATGTAATTTAATCAGTTGTTTATTAAATATTATTTTCTCTATTTTTAAACACGTTCAAAACATCTTAAGAGGCATATAATGCTGGTTATAAAAAAGGGTCTTTCGCACGCAGATAATAATGTAATTAAATTAATTGTCAAATGACTGTCTTTTTTTTTTCTTCAAACAAACGATATTATATACACTAAGGGATAGGGGGTGAGCTTAGTCTCACAATAGGCTAGCAATAATGTGGTTCATTCAATTGTTTATTAAATATTATTTTCTCTATTCTTAATGTAAATTCTATAGAAACTGATTTTATTATGTGAACTCAACTGCTTTAATTGGTTTATGAGAGGTTTCTTCTAGCATGATCTAAAATTATTCATTTACTTCAAATATTTGACTTTCCTTTTGTCGATTTACGCATATAAATACTGTTTATACCATATTTAGGGCCTCGTATTTAGATCTCGTACAAATACTCGGAGGACTTAAATGTAATTATGTGATAAAGGAAGGGGCAAATATGTAATAAGTGAGGAGTCCTTATTTTATAAAAAGACCCCTCACCCTCACAATTAGGGGAGGCCATTTAGAAGGCCAATTCCTAAGGCTCCTCTCCCTTTTCAAAGCTCTCACTCTCAGAGCTCTCTCTCCCTCAAATAAATACATATTCAGTGTGGACGTAGCCCAAACCTTGGGGTGAACCACGATACATCTTGTGTCATTTACATTTCTTGCAGATTCACGGTCGGATTTACGTTGTTCCAAGACCTCCGGTTTTGTGCATCAACATTTGGCGCCGTCTATGGGAATCGACACGAAAAGTTGTGTCGGTTCTCTTTCATTTTTTCACTTCCACCGTGAATCCGTAGAAACCCAAGGACCCAAAAAACCTTCGCAGACTCTGCAGTGTTAAGAAACCATCCAAAAACCCATTTTCCATCTCTCTCTCTCAACAACACGGCTACCACCGCGTATTTTCATGTCTCGGAGAGTGGGACACAGAGAGACAGAGAGACAGAGATCTGAAGTGGGGGACTAAGTCAGGGACCGAGTCGGGTCACATCCTCTCGGTACCGAGTTGAACTTTCAAAGCTAATCATCAAAGCAAATTCCTACCTCCCAAATCCAACCTCTCGCCCCCAGGTTTCAAATTCAGCGATTTGGGTTTTTGATCTCCTGTCCAGATCGAAAAATAGGTGCCTTGTCGACCATGCTCAAACACCCTGATGACATTTACCTGCTTTTGAAGCTCAAAATTGCATCGAGGCAAATCGAAAAGCAGATCCCGGCAGAGCCCCATTGGCCTTTTTGCTACACCATGCTCCAGAATGACTCTGACAACGAACCTGTAGCTCACTCCCTTGAGATCGATAAACCTGAAACTAGGAGTGTTGAAAGCATCGGAGGAGGGGAAATCGAAAAAGAAGACCCGGTGGACAAGCCCGACGACCCCATGGACGAAGACGCCGCCAGCCCCGCTGTCGTTTTCTGTATCAGGCTCAAGCAGCCCAGGTCCAATGTGCAACCTGAGATTCTCACTTGGACTTGGAGCCTTTGCGCTGCTCCGACGAGAACAGGCCCATCGGCCCCTCCTCCATTCACACTCAGAATTAGATCTAGAAAACCTTTATCCCATCGGACCAGATGCTTAATTATAGAAAACAGCGTCCTGCCAAGCCTTTGAAAGAGAACGGAGAAGGAGGAGGCAGAACCCAGCAGCAACAACAAAGCCAGCATCTTCCAAAAACCACACCCTCAAGACCTGGCACACTAGTAGCGATTGCTAATCTATATAAGATGTCGAGGTTCAGACTCATTCAGCAGCGGTTTACCAATGTAACTGCCACAGCTGCTGCTAAGCTCTTGCAGTCTAACGGGATGTCTTTACCTACTGAGGCCACTTGTCCGGATATCAGTAATCATAGTCAAGCGCCAAACAGCACAACACGATGTCTTTCGGATATTTGTTCTTCCATGCCTGAGGCCGATTTGTTGCCAACCGTTTCTAGCAGGCAGCTCGTTGAGAAAAGTAGCAGTAGGGACAAAGGCAGTGAGAAATTTGCATTGGCTATCTCCAAGCCATATACAAAGGGAGGGAAGACGAGTGGTCTATGTCTTCCCCCAATCCCACCATGTGCTACTGTAAAGCTGGGCCCAGATATGAGGAAAGGAAAGAAAATTTCTAGCCATCTGGAAGATGTACATTCCTTGAGAGTGCTCCACAACCGCTATCTACAGTGGAGATACCTCAACTGGGTCTCATGAAAAATACTTGGGGGACTTAGCCCATTATATATGTACTGAGGAGCGAGCCCTTATTTTATAAAAGGGACTCCCTCACCTTCATTAGAGATCATTGCCGCCAACTGAGCAACCGTCTCTCCGCGAGCATCACTCCTAACCCGTCATTTATGTATTGAAGAGCGAGCCCTTATTCTACAAAAGGAACTCCCTCACCATCATTAGAGAGCATCAACTCTAGCCCATCATTTATGTATTGAGGAGTGAGCCCTTATTCTATAAAAGGGACTCCATCACCGTCAAGCGCCACAAGCCGAGCCAACCAAGGCAACATAAGCCACGAGCCTCGCAGCCTCGCAGCGTGTGCTACTTCTAGTTGAGCATCATTTCAGATTGAGCACCGCCTCATATCAAGCATCAATTCAGGACAACATCTGGTTACTTCGGCCCACACATGGACTGAATTTCAAGTCTCCAGCCAAAAGACTCTCTTGACTGAAGACTTTGGGGACTACTGTTTATACCATATTTAGGGCCTCGTATTTAGATCTCGTACAAATACCCGGGGGACTTAAATGTAATTATGTGATAAAGGAAGGGGCAAATATGTAATAAGTGAGGAGTCCTTATTCTATAAAATGACCCCTCACCCTCACAATTAGGGGAGACTCATTCTCACCCTTAGAGGCCAATTCCTAGGCCCTCTCACCCCTTCTCAATGCTCTCACTCTCATAGCTCTCTCTCCCTCAGATAAATACATAATCAGTGTGGACGTAGCCCAAACCTTGGGGTGAACCACGATACATCTTGTGTTATTTACATTTCTTGCAGATTCATGGTCGGATTTACGTTGTTCCAAGACCTCTGGCTTTGTGCATCAACAAATACATTTAAAACATGTAGGTCGTGCATAGCACATAGTGATTTAAAAAATGTTTTCTGCACGTGCGTGAGGCTAGCCAATATGCCCTATAACCTACATTAGGCTTTTCCAAATTGTCCTTCGAAATGTCACGCATGTGCATGAAGGCTAGTTACTTATTAGTCAATATGCCCGTCATTACTTATTAGTCAATATGCCCTATAACCTACATTAGGCTTTTGCAAATTGTCCCTTGAAATGTTTCTGCATATCAATATTCCAACCGAATTACTATTTGATATTAACAATTTTATATTTAGGAATTCTGACTTTTGCAATTCCACATGCATGTATGTACTGAAAAGATGAAGTCAATCCGAGTATAATTTTTTTCTCTCCCTGCCTGATAGCGATTTTACCACTTGTAAAACAAAGGGTTAAACCATAGAAAATTCTTGCAAGAGAACAAGTGTTTGTAGTATAGAATGGCTCAAGCAAGGTCGATCTCCTCAGGGACTGATATAAACAATTTACGAGTTTTTGTGTATTTAACTTATTTAACTCTAAGAATTACACTAATTTGACGAAACTAAATATTACTAGATGTGACTTAAACAAATATCTAAAATGGGAATTGGTTTATAAGGATAATGATTCAACTTAAACAAAACAAGTAAATAAGGAAATTTAAGATAAAATAAATGATTGAAGAAAAATAGATTGACAATATGCTAGAGTTCAACCTTTACCAACAACACTCCTACGTAGCTATTCCAGTTGCTTAAATAATTGAAGACACACATGCTTTGTTGGATTTTCCTTGTGTATGTTTTACTTGTGACATTCAAGCTAAAACGCATACCACTACATGCAACTTATCCATGACATTTGGATTAAATATAAACATGAGAGATTCATTAATCTTGGTGAAAATCCTTTTGTTAAACCATGTAATCCCTAAGAGCATGATATTTACCTTAGGAGAGTACAATCCTCAATCACAAGAAGCACAACCAATTTTAACGTGACATTCGTTCAAAATTGCATCCGATAACTTTTCTAAGCATCCTAATGATGATCAATCATCAAGACACATAGATAGTTTAATTTAGAGATTGAAAATATCAAAGCAAGCATGTAACAACACTTAAGCAATTGAAAAATAAATCTACGTATTCATGTTGCGCTCATGGTCTCACTCTAGCATAATAAATTAGTTACACATAATTATGTTCGTACATAAGAAATTATCCATAAAAAATAACAAGAAAACACCCGTTTTTGGTTCCTCTGCTCTGCGCCCTCTTCTTTTCCTCTGCCTGCTGCGCAGTCTCCTCTGTCTCCTGTGCTTCTGCTTCTGTCCTTCTGCTGCTCGCCAGTCCGAGTCCTCCTTCCCTGCTCTCTGTCTCCTTTCTTTTTTCTGTTTTTCCTTTTTCCGTGCCTTCCCCCCTCTTCCGCACTGCCTCTTTCTTCTTTTATTCCTTCCGCACTGCCTCAGTGCTCTCTCCCGCGTCAGTCTCTCCCTTCTGCCTATTTTATTTTTGTTTGTCAGTGTGCACTCCACTCTCTTTCCACTCTTCTCTGTTTTTTATTTGTTTATTTTTTTCTTTTCTTTCCACACCTCTTTGTCTGCCAGTCTGTCTTTTTTATTTGTTTCTTTTTCTTTTCGTCACTGCCTCAATGCTCTCTCCACTCTGTCAGAATTCTTCCATGCTGTTTTTCCACTTTGTATCCTGCCATCCTCTCTGCTCCTTTGTTCGTGTCTTCACTTTTCTTCTTTTTAATTGAAATTGATCCTAAAACACATTTAACTGCACAATAACACAAGGTAAGGTAAAATATTACAATTTTAACATAAAAACATCACAAAAGCTTTAAAAATAGATGGTATAAATGTATGAAATATATGAGTGATCACTGCCCTCCAATTAAATATCCGAAAAGAAGTTAGTTTGCTCCAAAAATATCTTGTATGTGATAGTTAATTATCTCTATTATTTTATAACAAACGATATCAGCAGATAAAGAGAATCGAGCTCAAAACTGTTCAATAAATTCTATTTAACTTATTGATTGTTTCACATGGCGAGCCTTCTAAGGCTTCTTCTGAGGCAGGGGCAATCTTGTTAAGGACAAGAGGGGGCACGCACACCCCACCACCCCCCCCCCCCCCCCTTCCTCCTGTTCAAGTGTTTGGGTGGGAGAAAAGTCGTCTGAGGGTCTATTTAAATCGCAATAGGCTTCTGTTGCTCTATATATCGAATCAAACGGGCTTCTGTTGCTCTATATATCGAATCAAACTATGACGAATAATAATCAACTAACTACCACCATCAACATTATCAGTCACTCCTCATTCAAAACCATCAAAAGGTAGATATAACACAAAAACCTTTAATTGCAGAGTTCGTTCGGGCAGCTCACGAAGAAGAAGCAGATGAAATAGGGGAAACATCTATGTTTTAAGAGAAACGGCACCATATTTGAAAATGTTTATACTGGTTTTTTCTTAAAATAATAAAAGTATTGTTAACCCTCTCTCCTTTCATACGTCTAATAAAAGGCCTTATACGTATATGATTTATCACTTTGTTTACTATAACAATATTGACCTAAAAACAATTAAATAGCACAAGGGGTGGGAGACGTACGGTAAGCACACAATGGGGTATGAGTTGACCGAGTGCTCGACAAAATAGCTCACTTAAAAAAATCGAATTTTTTGGCACTTACGTCATGCATGGAATTCCACACGACCTGGATCTGCTAATGCTTAGTTATGTGTCCAGCGAACTAACTTTCTAGCTTAGCCCCTGCTGACAAGGGGTACCAATGTTCTACATCTTTTAGTACACCACTGCAGTTACATTCTCTAAACTTTTTAACTTTTTACATTTACTATTTTGAATTCAAGTTTATGGGTTAATTAACATGGTTTTACACTTGCATCATAACAACTGCTATAAGCAAAATTTGGACCACAAGAACTTTGTCATAGGTAGAAGTACAGAAAATCAACAAAATAAAAGTGGGTCCCAAGTAATGAACCAAGATGAGCTAGTTTTTGTTTTTGTTGGGAAGAAGATAAGGTAGCTGTCTATAATATCACATTGTTCGTTTATATATTAATAAATAAAACATGTAAGTCCAATGCCTACATGTTCATTGGAAAATGTCATGCATGATAAATGATATGAGTAGATTAGAAAGGAAGCTGCTATAGCACAAACAAAACAGTTAACTGTAATTTCAGTAAGCCAATCAAAGGAGAATCAACGGGCATAAACAACGGAATGAGTGCAGAAGTGGAAATCATTACCCATTTGAATATCGTCTCCTTAAAAATTCTGTATGAGTATACATCTCATGTAAACCAAAAATAATTGCAATTTACATGCATCTTTTGTAATTGGCTAAATACAGGAGACTGAACAGTCTAGCACAAGTCCGATACCAGTCGTATAGACGAAATACAGGAAAGCAGAAATTAGCAATCAAACGCTAAGCTTGGCGCGGAAATCTGTGCTTACAAATGGTTCAATCATTTCGTCTAAGCAGGCCATCCGTATCCGTTCAGGTGTCGCGGGATTATCAAGTGGAAACCACTCATTAGACCCTACTTCTGCTCTTGCAGCTATTATGGCGTCTTTGATGGCGAAGAAGACGGCTGATGCCAAGAAAAATGGTGGCTCACCAACAGCTTTAGATGAGTGGATGGCCTTCACATTTGGATGACCCTGTCAATTAGTAAAGGAAACAACAAACAAGTCAGCAGAGAGAATCATTAACGTAAGCTGGGTGGCCAAATAAATTTGATCTCGATAAATACAACTGTTAAGCAAAGGATTAAAGCTTTTCCAAACAGAAGCTAACTATCCTATCCAATTAACTGACTCAAAAGGAAACCTTTCCTCTACCCAACTAACCATTTTCATATTTTTCTATCACTGCATCCCAAAAACACAAAGCACACGAGTTACCACCCAATGGAAGCCTCAAGTAGTTCAAAGGACATTCACCAACCACAAAACCCAAGCTACTTGCTAATGATAGACAAATTAACCCAAGGAGATTCATTGACATCTGGAACCGCACCCGTAATACTCGTAGACAAATTACCTTCCAGAGTAACCTTTAATTGGATAACATGTTCTTCTAAAG